GTAAAGAACATGAATCGTAGTCATTCTACTGTAAGTTGTCAGTTTGAGTGTCTTTCTCCCAGTACTGCTTTGCTTCAAAGGCATGTGGCCTCTGAAATAAATAAGCTCATATTAATAATGCTAACCTCCTTTAAGAAAGATACGTGCGGCATTTAACTTCGTACCTTCTGAAAAGCTTTGTGTAAATCGAACCGCATATCCATATCTATAAAAGCTGACATAAACGAAAATATGGGCACGCATGTTGAGGTAATGTAGACGGACTGTATCCTCCAGGGTATCGTATCCGTTTTGTTTGCTCTCCCAATTATTTTCAGGCACCATAAGTAAAATGAAATAGATTAGAATTAATAGGTGGATCTTCAGGTGGATTTGTTATTACAGTATTTGTTGCATCACGCTTTCCGTCGCCTACTAAGCTAATCTCAACTGTATGTTGATTTAGCAGTGCTGTCGTTGGCGAGACCTCGTTGGATCGACTGGCTTGCTGTCTTGGGGGAAAAGTGTTCCTTCAACCATGCTTGCAGTTTATTTCACCGATGCTGTCGAATGGTAATAACTGATTCACGAATGCATTCTTTTCTTTTAATACCTCATTCGTTCTGTTGAAGCTGACTGGAAGTACAGATATGCTGGCTTAATGGCTCTGTCGACTATTGGCGAAGGCTGTCACCGTCAAATGGAAACGATATTGGACAAAGTGGTGGATTGTCTCTTGCCGTACCTGCGTGATGCGGTACTCTTTGTTTTCTTGTTTTTCCTTAATATCTACTGGTTATCTTTTGACAGCTTATTTGTCTTTTAGAACCCGCGCGTTCGCTATGCAGCGTGCAATGCCGCAGGTCAGCTGTCAACCGATTTCGCGCCAACTCTACAGAAGCGATACCACCAAAAGTTGCTTCCTGAACTGATGCTGGTGCTTGAAGACCTGGAAAACCCTCGGGTAGCAGCACATGCAGCGGCTGCACTTGTCAACTTCTGTGAAGATGCTCCAAAGAACGTCGTGACTATGTATCTGGAAGCGTTGATGCAGAAACTTGAATTCGTGCTGCAGCATACATTCAAAGCGGTAACGCGTTTATTTGTACTTTATGTCTATCAGTCTTATTCGTGATGTAGCAGCTTTGTTTTTTTCCAGCTCTTAGAAAAAGGCAAGAAGCTGGTATTGGAGCAAGTGATAACAACAATAGCATCCGTGGCTGACAGTGCCGAAGAAAGCTTCATCACTTACTATGACAGGTAAGACGTCACTGAGCACATGATCACCGTGACGCGGACGACGATGTCTAAAATAATTTTTATGTAGAGTGATGCCTTGCTTGAAGTACATCTTGCAAAACGCTATCCAGCCAGAACTTCGCATGCTTCGTGGTAAAACGACGGAATGCATCTCATTGATCGGCCTTTCGGTTGGCAAGGAGAAGGTGTGCACGCACTAACATTTTTCTTCCTTATTTAATTTTATTTAGTTTCTGCCCGACGCCAAT